GATGTATCTGTGTGTATTGTTGACGAACTAGTAGCAGTGATAGGTGAGCTGGATATCACAGTAATAGTACTGGACGATGTGTCTGTATGTGTTTGACTTGTATCGGTATGTAAAGACGATGATAATACACTAGTTACTGATGTGTCAGTGTGCGATAATGATGAACTTATAATTGTTAAAAGTGAAGTCGGCAACGTAGTAATTGTACTTACAGCTGAGTTCGTCATTGTTTGAGTCGTGTCCATATGTAGCGTAGTATATGTAATAGTACTTGTATCTGCATGTAATGATGATGATTGGCTTGTAGATATAGTAGGTGAAGTTGATATAGTCATAGTATTTGTTATTCCAGTATTTGCTATTGTTGTCGTGTCAATGTGTGTTGATAGAAATGTGCTAGTACTCGTATCTTGTGATACACCTATATGTGAAGATGATTGAGTATTCAAGATAACTGTTGAAGATTGTGTGATAGGAATAGTATTTGATGTAATGATATCAATTATATGACTGGTATCCGTATGAGCAGCTGAAGAAGAAATACCAGTTGTGACTGTTGTCGTTGCATCTGTCTAGAATAGAGATTTAATTATTAATATGGATGTTAAAGTTGAATGAATTTAACAATATTGCTTCTTGTACTTACGTGTGGTGATGATGATGAAATTGGTATAGTGATGATATTAGTTTGTGCTGCATCAGTATGTGGCGAAGATTGTGCTGTTAGTATTGTAGTTGAAATTGATGTTGTTGTACTGATAGTTGTAGGTAATGTATCTATATGGGATGATGATTGCGTTATCGCGACAGTAATAGTTGTTGTATTAGTTAAGTGAGTTGAATCTGTTTGATGCACTGTTGATGTATCAGTATTGGGAACAGTGGTAATGAACGAAGTATTGGATAATGTTACTGATGAAGTTGTATTTGATGATTGTATTGATGTTAATAGTAAACCGATTGTTGAGTTTGCATCAATTGTAATATGTGGAGTAGTTAATGTACTTGCTGTACTAGAATCGGATAGATTGAAATTATGACTGGTAGTTGATGCATGATCGGTAACATTTAAAGATAATGTTATTGCTGTTGTTATAACACTTGCATGTGATGATGTTTCTTGAGTTATAGCCGTTGGATCTCCATCTAAATACCAAGAGAAACTAACTATGACTAATATCTGGTCATATTATATACACAGAAATTACTATTAACCATATTTTCTTGTTAAATAGAGTACAATAAGGTATTTGTTTTCATAGCAGAAGGAGAGAGCATAGCAGAATAAAGAGGAAGCATAATATATATGTATATTTTTGACAGGAAATTGTTATTGATATTATAAATGAATAAATAAATGGTTAATTGCTATATCAATTGATATAACCTATAGCGACTAAAAAAGAGTTTTTTTGTTAATATGTTTATAAAGAAGACACAAACGTAGACAAAATCAAAGATATACAGATATAGATAAGCATTATATAAAATGAAACTTAAAATACAATTAATATTTATCAAAACATTTTGTAAGCAATACAATTTCAAGATCTCTTACCAGCTCTTTTCACTAGATAAATTAATTAAAAGAGAGAATTATTTTTAAAAAAACTATTTTCTATATTTAAAATTAAATTATGACTAACTATATAACTATTTTTATACATTTAACTGTCTAAAAATGAATATATTTACCTCGAACATTGATTTTAGATCGATCATCTGGTGAAGGATATTCTAAAAAATACAAGATATACTAAATTTATCATTTATTTGTACTAACGATAGCTTTTAACATCATAGACACTGAGTACATCTAAACCACCACAACAATCAATCGTCATATTATTTCGACTGCCATTGCATGGAATATTGCATAGAAATGTATTCACAGATGGTTCATTTAAATCATCACCACAATGACATAAATTACTATAAACAAAATATAATATAGTTATTTTTGTTATATTATAGAATAACACAAATTTCAGTTAAATTCTATTTATTATAATAAGCTTTACTTACCCATTCACTATCCCTGCATAATTATAGTTGATAGCACAGCGTGAAACGCATTCTTCGATTGAATTCACAAAACCCGTTAGAGTAATTAATGTTGCATCACTAAAACAACCTTGATAACCAACAACAGTATTTAAACATATCGCGTCTAAATAGTACCGTTTTTTACTTTTATTATATATTCTTTAACTAATATAAAAAAAAGACATACCTGTTTTAGATCTATCAACAGATTCAATTACGCTATAAATACTATTTCGATAGTCACCACCACACTTTTCAGATGTTTTACAGGCATAATTGCATTCATCTTCTGATACTCGACCATATTTTCCATATTGTTGTCCACAACGACATTCATTACCATATTGTATACCTGCATAATCATAATTTCTCTCTCGACAAGCAATAATACATTGTGCTGGAGTTAATTGTTCATAGTCACCGATAAATATTTGCAAATCACGATTATCAAGTTGATCAATAAAACAACCCAAATATTGATTAAGACCTATAATAAATATGAAAATAAATGTGTTTTTTTTTTAATATTTCTTTTTTGACATACTGTAAGTAAACGTCAGTTGAACGAATAAATAATAGAGCAAAAATAGTGCTCTCATTGCAACTGTCGATCATACCAATAGATAAAAAAATTATTTGTAAATCTAAAATCATAAAGAAACAAAGATTTATTTTTTTGTTTTTACATCGATTATAAAGAATAACGTATCAATGAATAATCATACCATTACTAATACACATAAATTCGTTTTTCATATCGATAATATGTATTTAATATAAGGTACACCTATACATCGATTCACCAACTTTCTCTTCAATTAATAATAGAAAAAAAAAACTGAGAAAAATCATGTTTTGTCAATCTGACAACATGTTTTCTGTTCTCTACCAATATGAACACTAAACGATAACTTCTATAGAAACCTAGAAGGCCAATATTGATCTAACAATTTATCAGCCTACCCCTCATTCCATCTGTAATATAAAAAAAACTAAACATCTGATATTATATTCTAATATTAGACACATTTTTGAGTAACTACTTCAAAAATATAGTGAAATGAAATATGAATACTTAAAAATATCGTATAAAATACAATAAATATGATGGATACATATAACAAATCAAATATTCAAATATGATGTAAATGTCATAGAGCATAGTATTATGACAGAAAAAAGAAATCAAATAAACTTTTAGAAGTTTGTTGAAATTTTTCATGATCTTGTAAGATCTTTAAACTTTTATTATGAGACAGTGACCTTGATGCATATGTGAAAGCTGTTAATGACTTAAGGGCTTTTCTTTTTCTTTGTTACTTCTTTAAAAAAAAAAAAGTTCTCCTTACACACATCTTATTATTATTCGTCTCAATGAAAAATATTAAAAGAAAAAGTGATCTCTCAACACACTCATAAGAATAAGTGTTCGATAGTCTCAATGGCACGGGACATTTGTTTGTAGTTAGTCAATCAAAAAGAAGTATGTTCGAGAGTATGAATATAATAATCGTACAAAGAAAGAAAGAAAAATGAAAGATTATTTGTCAACTTACTTACATCTTAAATCTGAAAGAAATGACAACTAAAAAAAGTTTGTATTAAAACATTGAAAATTACATTTTGAAATTAGATCTTAACGTGCCCTATGCATTTTTTTGTCATATATTCATCTTAATGTGTTTAAAAGATTGTGATATATGAGAAGAAAATATATAATAATAAGATGAATACTGATGAACGATACGAAGGTTATTATAAAATAAGATGACAAACTCTACCGATGCTGTCCATAATCTCAGTCAGTATTCATTTAATATCAATGTATATGTCACATATACATATAGAAAAGAATAACCGAGAAGGTCGTCGGATAATCTTTCATTTTAATATATACTTAAATGAAAATGATTAAATTCTCATTATTATTTATACTGTTGTTGTTGTTTTTATTCTCGACGAAAAATTTTTCATAATGTTTTCATCTATTAATATCAAACATAGTACTCATAATTTAAAAAACAGTATGTTGTTATTTGTATTACCCTTTCATTTCTTTATGTAAACGTTAATATACAAAAAAAAAAGAAAAAGAAAAGTAAGTAGAAAGAAACCATAAAAACGTCAGTCTAAACAAATTCTACAATAACAACTAAAATTATTCATCTAATTATAAAACACGAGACAAAGTATATATATATACTTTATTCTTTCATGATAAAATGATTCTTAATATTAATTATAAATATATGTATTCGAATAAAGATTTTATAATATTATCTATATATAAACATTCATACCTGGTTAATTCTATGTACATCAATTCATTCACTGCGGCGATAAAATGAAAAATTGAAAAAGCTTTTCTTTTTTATATAATACAAAAGAAAATTGTCTTTAAAATGAATGAAATGATTTATTTGCATAACAAAACAAAATTTCTAACACTCTAACCACTACTAAAATCAAACAAAAAAAGTACATTTACTGATTCAGTAAATTCTTTTATTTGTTTTACTATGCCAGAAGAGAAAAAAACATTGTCGTCTTTTATTTTTGTCACCTTCTCTCGAACTTTTTTTTTTCTTCTCATTTTTACTTCCTTTAATATACGAAAGTTACCATCAATATTCTATTAGTAAAATATCATACACAAACATTTCAAAGAGTAATCAGCTAAAAAAAATCCTGACATATTAATGTTTTTTTTTCCTATTTATTAAGTACATCCTGATACGTGATTCATTCTTTCCGGAAAAATTGTCACCATCTTGTGTTCAGTTCGTTGTCATGCATTCCTTTCCTTTCCTTTACTTATGCGTTCCGCATAGCTACAATCAACTGTTTATTCTTTATCGATTCGAGCGTCCTCTAACGAATCAACAATTTTGCCTGAATAAATAACCTACTTTTACACCTATTTAAAGAGAGAGATATCTACTGACTATCACGCCATATAAAACCTATAAAACCTACAGATAAACTAGTGTTTCACATTAACAATGACAGAAAAAACGGTAATACAACGTTCACATGAAGCTGTTAAAAAAGAAGTTTCATCATATAATGAATTATTTCAAGATTCAGCATCTGTCGATAAACGAAAAGAAGAATATAAAACATTGGTAACGAATTATTATAGTTTATCAACAGATTTTTATGAATATGGTTGGGGTCAAAGTTTTCATTTTGCAAATCGATTTCGTGGTGAAACATTGTCAGAATCAATTCAACGACATGAATCTTATTTAGCATTAAGAATGAATCTTAAACCTGGCGATAAAGTACTTGACATAGGTTGTGGAGTTGGAGGACCATTGAGACGTATTGCATACTTAAGTGGAGCACACGTCACCGGTGTCACAATTAGTCCATATCAAATTCAACGCGCTAAAGCTATCGGTAAGAATATCATATTTTTCTTTTGTAAGAAGAAAATTTTTTAAATTTATTTTAGGTGTGCCCGCTAATTGTCAGTTTATTCAAGGTGATTTTATGCAATTACCATTTGAAGATAATACTTTCGATCATGTTTATGTTATTGAAGCGGCATGCCATGCACCAGAGAAGGTATTTTTATTATATTATTTATTTTTAAAAAAAAATGAATTATATCTTTTTTTTATGACTTCATTAGGCTAAATGTTTTGCTGAAGTTAATCGAGTACTTAAACCAGGTGGTTCATTTATTGGTTATGATTGGTGTATGACTGATAAATATGATAAACAAAATTCCGAACATCTTGAAACAAAACGTTTGATTGAAGAAGGTGATGGGTTACCTGATTTAAAATCAACAGATGAATTAGTTGATGATTTAAAATCAGTTGGTTTTACAATTGAAGAAAGTCGTATAATACCTGAAGGTGATATTCCTTGGTATCAACCATTTATAGGTGGTGATTCATACTTTTCATTAGCAAGTTTTCGTACAACTACACTTGGTCGATGGGTAACACGTAATATGGTTTGGGCTATGGAAAAATCTAAATTAGCTGCTGAGGGTACTATTGGAACACTTGAAATTCTCGAAAAAGCAGCTGTAGGTTTAACACGCGGTGGTAAAAGTGGCATCTTCACACCTTATTTCTTTTTTCTTGCACGTAAATCTTAAATACGTTAAAAAGACAATGCATATTGTGATAGTTTCGTTTCTTTTTTTATTAGTTTTCATTATTGCTATTATTATTATTATTAATGTATTCATTTAATTCTATTGAGGCAGATGAAATAGATTGTCGAGCAGCATATGAAGGTCGTCGTAATGCTATTGTTTGTTGTTGTCGTTGTACAAGTGTACATAGATCACGAAGTTCATAGAGTGTATCTGTTAATGAATCAGCAAATTCTCGAGAATTTGTTGTTGAACAATTTTTAAATGATGAAATACAAAATAGAATATAATCGGAACGAACATTGTATGAACAACCGTAACCATCAGGTACAACTGCACCATAACATATAAATGAATCATTGATATTTGTTGTTACTTGACTTGTTGATAAACTAAAATGATTACTTAATGCATAACCAGGATCAAGAAATAAATCTGGCATTGGAAGATTATTATCACGTGCCACTTGTTTAAGAGCAAGCACTGAAAAACAAATATATAATTTCATAAAAAAAAAGAATCAAAATTTATATATGATTAGACTTACTGTGGCAATCCATGCCGTCACCGAGAATATTCTAGAAAAAAAAATGTATGATATATATATATATTTTAGTTTCGAGAAAAAAATTATTAATAACATAGATAAGATCTCAAGATATGTATGAAAAAAGATAGTATTCAAAGCCTGTATGTACTCAAGTGACTAATTGGATATAGTGTAACGTATGGTTTATATATCAATTGTCTTTTAAAATAAATGTATACAGACAATTTATTTTTGATTTATTCTATAATATTAAATATAGAGCTCATATTCAATTCATGATTTGAGTTCTTCGATGAATTTTGGACAATATGAATGATGATCAAAATTTAGTATCAACTTATCAACGAACGAATTTAAAAAAATATATCCGTCCTTATATAATTTAGAAAATATTAGATCTATAATTAATCTATATATTGATTAAATGAAGGTTATATTGTTTTTATTTGTGTATATATTTTCCTGTTATTAATAAACTATTACAATAACATTAATATCGTGTGAATGTAAAAAAAAAAGGCTATACATGCGAAGATTTGTAATGCAAGACTCATGAGAATTATAATGTAAAACACGATAGAATTAATTTACTTCTAATTCGACAAAGACAACATTTTCTATTACTAAGTTTATAATAAAATCTGTCATTTCATGTTTCATATACTAATCTAAAATAGTTCTACTAATTCTGTTATTCAATTAAAAATCTAAGCTATAACATGAATATTTCTGAGTTTATTCTAAGAGTATTATTCTTATTCAGATAGAAAACTTTATTATCATGTAATCATATAAACTAATTCTTTACTTGAATCATAAGATCAGTTTGTGCTTGCATAGCTTGTCGGAATAAACGTAATTTTTCAGCTGCTGAAATATCTCCTGTTTCATCAACCATTGCTTGTGCCCATGTTAATGCTTCAGGAGTATTAGCTCGAATATTATCTACTCGACCAAAATGAAATCGTCGTGTTGATGCACTTTCATATGTTGACACAAGTTTATTATACATTCTAAATAAAAATTAAAAATTTCTACTTTTTTATTGCATAAAAATATACACACTTAAAATAAGTAAATTGAAGACACATCTGAATAAATGCATCAGGACTCATATTATGTTCCTTTGGAAACTCTTTTCCATAATCAGTAAATTTAAGAACATATAAATCGAATTCATTAATTGCACTAAAATAAGAATATATTAATTAATTGTTATATTTAAAAATATATGTATTTTTACTCTTGTAAACTTTCTTTTGCAAAAGAAAGATTTTGTCGTAGGAGATTATTTAAATTCCATTTTAATCGATGTGGTATTGGAAGTTCACAAAGTGATTTCGAACGACGAAATCTTTCGCGACTTTTTTCTTCCCTAAATTTTATTAAAATAAAACTCAAATAAGATCCTCATAGGTCACTACTCACATATATTTAAAGAGATGTTCAATTAATTGAATAACAGCTACAGCTTCAGCTGGTGAATGTTCATAATTTAAACCAAATAAACCATCGGTACCAATTATAAATTGCATCGTTTTATCATACCACCGGTTTGAAGCATTAAGCATATTTTTTCCTCCATGTAAAATTTGTTCGCCTAATGAAACAAAATTTCGTTTCATTGTCTTATTAAAATCAACTGTTTCATCATCTTCATCTAAATCATTTGTATCACATTGATCCAAGCATACAATAAAAATACATCGTTCAATAAGATCAAGTGAATCTCGATTCAATGCATCTAAAAAAAACCAATTCAATAGGATATCTAATTTTGGAAATTCAAGGATACTATTATTATCTTGGAAAAACATGAAGATTTTTTGTATTTATAAATAACTTTCTTTTATAGCTTGCAAAGAAGTATTTTTATTTTCTATCTATTAACTATAATTATCTATATGTGATAAGAATGTGAAGTGGGTTAAAAATAGATAGCCTTCAACTTTCTGTTCAAATGGAAGTAAATCTACGGATCAATTAAAAACTTGAATGAACGTTAAAACATCATCTATACACATATGTGCGATTTACTTTGAATTCATGTTTATAAATGAATGAAATTAATGTCTTAAATTTGATTTATTACGGCCTTTGAAGATAATTCAAACAATTTTTTTGATTAAATGAATATGATCAAAACACGAATAGAATCCGCCATATGAACTAAGTCAACTTGTTGCATGATTTTATATCCTAAGACTCTTAATTACTTCATTAGATAACTTTAGGAAAAAAAACTTCTCATTTACTCAATTGAAGATTTGATGAAGAATAATAAAGACTGTCATTCAGTCCATGCCTTTTAAAAGACTTTCTAAATAACATTGTAAGAGCAATAGGTTCATATATATATATATATGACGTGTAGTATCGGTTGAAATTAAATTTTAAAATTTGTTTTCTTAATTAAAGCAAGTGCACAATAATATAGAACATTTCTTTTATTTATACTGTAAATTAATTTTGGAAGTATGTTTACTCTCATTTTTTTGTCACAAAGAATTTTTCTTTACCTTTTATTAATTCTGCTCGTATATTCGCCCATTTACGTCGAGGTAATGATGTATAAATACCAACTTCATCAGTTGTCCAAGGATCATCATCAGCCATTTGAACAATTCGTTTTAATAATGTATAAATATCATCTTCATCTAATCGTGTAAAATTAATGACAACATTTAATACAAAAAATTGATTTCGATAGGCAACAATAACATGCTCAACTTGATGATGTACCACTTTACTATTACGTATTTGTATAAGACGATCTTGATTTATATCGGGCATACGATAACAAGAAAATAGACGATAATATTGTTCCATACAAAATGGTTGACCTTTTTCACGGCTTGTTGCTCGATCTATAGGTAAAGCTCGTCTAAAAATAAAAAAATAATTTTTTTAAAATTTTGAATAAATATTAAAGTATTATTTCTAACTTACGCATCAATTAATACTTTATAATCTAATATTCCTGATATTAATTTTGCAATAAATCTATAAGAAAAGAAAAAAAAGATTTCTTTTTATTTTAAAATTAAAATACGATTATTTACTTTAAATAATCTTCAGTATTTGTAAAGTGTTGTTGTGGAAGAACAAATGCTGGATTAGAATTAATTGGCAATGAAAGAGGATTTGCAAGATACATGTCTTCTAACCACCAATCAACTGCCTAAAAATGAACACGATTATTATTATTATTGAAGGACATTTTTATTTCGATTTGTTTTCTGATTATTTATTATTACATACATAATTCTCCGATTTTGTTGCATGCTCAATCAGCATATCTTGCAAACGATGTCCAATATTTTCCTTTGTTGAACGAAATTGATCTACTAAATTTTTTGTTCGATCAAATTCATCTGCTGATTGAATTGGTTCCAAACAACGAAGATATTTCGTTAAGGTTGCATCCAAATCCGGTACGGGAAGATGAGGTAAACCTTTCTATGATATATTATTATATTGATATATGTGTATTTTTTTAGATTAGGGGTTCTCTACGGCTCACCTCAATATCCCATTTCAGACAATCTTTGTCTTCAGTTTGTTGCCGTTTAATACGTCCAATATATTTGTCTAATGTTGGTAATTGAGATGATAGATTTTCAACCATTCCTTTCTCTCTTTTCTTTTCTTTTTCTTGATATCTAAAAAAATTATATATTTATGAGTGGTAGACTATAACGACATTGAACTACATAGAATTTATTTAAAAGGCAAACTTCGCATAAAAGAAAATAAAATTGAATATATAGATTAACACAAACATAGACAAACAGGCACAATGTCTTTGTACATAATTTCAATTGATATGCATTATGATATATTGGTTTTTTTTCCATACAAATCATCATACTAGACTACATGAATGATAAAATGTATTGTTGCAGGGATGAGAAAAAGAATATAGAAGAAGGCAAACTCTCATTCACAACAACGGACGAACGACAAACTTTTAGAAAACAAAAGGAAGAAAAGAACAAAACAGAAAATAAAATTTTCCTAAAATAATAATAAAAATACATCACCGGATCGACTATGTGTATGTATGAATGTGTTTTTTTTTGCTTTAAAAATCATCATAATCAACAATATTTCTTGATTTTGATTGAAAATGTACTGCGCCTTGTTGACCCATATTCATTTGTGGATATTGATTTTCTCTTGTCATACCCATGCCTGTGTTTGATGGTGGCCAAGCATTTGATGATGAACTAGTATCATTTTGTTGATTATAATTATTATTAGCTATTGATCTTAAATAATTATCTTCGTCAGGTTCATTTTGTAATGGTTGATGTGCAAATGATTTTAATTCGTCATTTTCCAATGGTTTAAAAGCATAAAAGTTTCTTAGGAAATATAAAACCGGTGCATAAGCAATATTACTGACAAATATAAGAATATTTAATGTAAGGAAATTTGTCGCATAAACTATTGAACCAGCTACAATCGGACCCATCGCATAGGCAAGTGAATAAGATATATCAGCGATAGCATAAACTGATCTATAAATATATATATATACAAAGTATAAAGTCAATTCTTTTTTTCGAAAATAAAAAGACAACTAATTAATTTACATACCCATAAACAGATGTATGACGAACATCAACAAGATAAGCTAATGTAGGTAACAAAGCTGTATCTACCAAAGCATTTCCTAATAAATATAAAAATAAATTAAAACTACTATACAAAAAAGTTATGCAATAAAAAACATACCAAAACATATACCACTTATCGGTATCATAAGTGAACCAAAATTTGTACAAAATGGTATGAAAATACACATAAAACCTTGAAGTGCAAGCCCAATAGCAGCTAATAACCATTGATATTTGGGATAACGTTCATTTAATTTAACAGTAAGATAAACTCCAGAAACATGTGGAATAAAACCTGGTAACCATATCAAGCCCATTTGCATTTCAGTTGCTTGCATTCGATCACGCATCCAGATTGATATTGTTGGTTCAAGAAAAGCCAAACCAACATTAGCCTTTATAAGAAGAATTTCATAAAAAAAAACTATTTTCTTTCTTTCTTTCTTTTTTCTTACCATAGCTAAAGCTCCAGCACATACAGCAATATATGGATCCATTAGTAAACGCCATATAGGTGTTCCTTTTGGTTTGTCTGGATGTGCATGATTTGAAAAATCAAATGCTTGACGCAGTCGTGTTGGCCGCATTACAACAAACAATAGAACACCATCAAGCAAAGCAATCATAGCCAATGTAATAAATGGTACACGTTTACCAAAAAATTCATATAGAATACCTTAAAAATGAAATAAATAATCAATATTTTCTAATATATATATTTCAGTACTAACCGCCAAATGGTGGTGCAACAAGAGATCCAAATGAAATAAATGCTAAAGCAATACCTAATTGTCGACTACGACTACCTTCATCTTGATATCGATCAGCAATCATAGCTAAAATAAAAACAAATAAATTTACATATTTAACTCTCTTTTTTTCCTTCAATGTACCTAAACCAGATGTATCTGCAAAAGCTGAACCAACACCTTGTAAACTTCGTGCGATGAATAAAACACTGTATGATCGACCAAATGCAAATGTTGTTGTTGATAAAAAAATAACACAAAGTCCAATACACATTGGAATATCATAACCAATACGATCTATTAATGCACCACTAAATGGATTAATTAATAGTTGAATTATTGCTTTTGAACCAAATAATGTTCCAACAGCAACATCTTCAGCACTATCATCATCATCATTCGTTACGGTTGTTACTTTTCCATTTGATGCAACTGGTTTTGATACATTACTACTTTTTCCCCATGCTCCTATACTTTGTAAATAATCCGGAATAATAGGTACCTAAAAGTATAGTGTTTTGTTTTTCGAAAAACAAAAAGCTTAAAAAATTATTTATACTTACAATAACCATATAGAGCATATTATCAAGTAATAAAGCAATACATACAATAACCATAATAAGCCGTCTTTGCCTTTTGGGAACATTGATAATCTCTTGTAAGGTTTCCCATGCATCGGTTATTCGTTGTTGAAGCATATTTAATATGGCCTCCATCGTATATATATATATATATTTTTTTTTTCGATGTTTCAATTTAAAATATTATAATTATATTCATCGGAAAATCTATGAATATACAGATATTATAGTATTTTTTTTTCTCAATTAAACTATTTTTATTTATATTTAAATAAAATACAGAAGAAAAAGAAGAAGAAGAAGAAATATAAGGAAAAAAAAAGGGAGTTCAAGTGTTCATTGAATATCTTAAGTGTAATGAACATATGTTGCTTACATAAATGATTAGAAATATAAAAGAAAAAGATCTATGAAAATAAATTCAAGATGATCTATCATACTATTCAATTGCTAGGGTTTTATCATCATCTCTGTTTTTTTCTTATTCATCCTATATTCAATACGCTCCGGGGTTAAAACCCTCGCTTCTACATATATGCATCTCGGCAGTCTGACCACCTAATCCTATTATACGATAGGAATGCCGGCACGAGCACGAAACGACAATGATGATGATGTACAATTGTCATAATTTAGTGAGCGATGTTCCTATTCCGCTACCGAATCGATTCGGTTAGCGTATGATAATGACGAGTGTTTCCTTCTATCTCCGTTTTTATCTCGCTCAAACCATTTTATGCATGAACACGTTCATGAACAAGTAACGAACAGATCCGAATTATATTTCTCAATTTGATCTTGCGTTCATAGTAAATCTCAACTGAATACGACGAATAGAATGGCAAAAAAAAGAACGTCAGATAGATAGACAGACAGAGAGAGAGAGATTTTCGTCATTCGCTTAAATCCTGATTAGAAATGGTTGATCGTGCGATGATGACATTAATCGCTTTGGTGGATCGAGCAATGAAGAAAAAAGAGAAGAAAACTAGAAGGAAAAAGAAGACGACGAAGAAAAGAAGATGAGAGTCTCCGTGTAGATCGTCAAATGGGAAATGAAATTATTCGCTTGCTCTCGCTCCCTCTCTGTGTGTCTCTTGCCGACTGAGAAATGCATGAGATAGAGAGAACAAATCTAACTTTGCGTGAATGATTTGACGATGAACACCCCCACACACATATACACAATGTTGGATCGATTTGATTTCTTGATCTCTGTTGTTCGAATAAATCGAATTTCAATATAACCTCGTTCTTTCTCTCTCTCTCGCTCTCTCGTTTCTCGGCGTTAATTTGAATTCTTTACAAAAACAACAATAATTTCTATTACTTATGTCCTTGATTGAAAATGACAACAATTTTTCTCTGAGTACCAATGATTTAGAACAGACTAATGAGTGAATCGTAGTAATATTCAGTTAAACAAGACCCTCGAGGCATAATCTAACAACAACAACAAACAAAAAACAGTAACAACTAAATTTATATGAGAAACGAAACAACTATGATAATTTTCTTTTAAAGTACTAGTTGTAACGGAGTTTGTAATGTTGATGAGGCATGACGACAAATAATCACAACACATGCAGATAATAGTGATGTTCATCCTACTTCCGGACGACTGCTGCTGCAGCAACTCTTGATCGATAATAGCTTGTAACACGCTCTCTTGCACTACGACAAGAAGGAGCATCCTCATCAACTTCAAACCTTGTTATTACACTCTTCTTTTATATGTTCTCTCTCTCTCTTTCACTCACTCATCCACTCACTCACTCTACCTCTCTCTAATAAGGGTCATTTGCAAAAACTATATAACGAGTATTATAAAAAAATAGAAAAAGGAAGATAATAAAAACTAATGATTAGATGTGACTGTAGTTCGAAAAAAGTAAGAAGAGTAACTGGCCGAGAGTTTGTCTTTGTTCGACGACAATGAAGACGGCAAACGTAGGTGCAAATGGTTAATTGATGATGTGTATATATATATATATATATATAAATGTGCGGCTGCCACTCTTTCTCCTTTTCTCTTCTCGTTTTGATTCATGAAGTGGAATTTTTAATTGAATGTGCAAGATTTCCGCCATTGCCGATCTATGAGGACGGCAAAGAATAACAATTCAAAACTCTGAAAGGATACACACTTGGTATTGAGAAAAAGAAAATCAGTCGAATAAATAGTTGAAAGTCGAGAAAGTCATTGTTGATTATCAATATAAAAACTTTTGTATATTCATTATTGAGTTTCTTATACGAGTAAAAGAAAATGAGACAAGAGAAATGAGCTTTTTCTTTTTCTGTTGTTTTTTTTTTGTTGGTAAAAGTGATCTTATACCATGTCATACTCAACCATGCTAATTGGGATAGCAGGAGAAGATTTTTTTTACATAGAATGATCAATCAGAGCAAAGACTACTACTTCTTACCTATTACCATTGGATCGCATGACAAAAAAGTCAAGACATATATATATATATACAAAACTCAGGCAAATGTCTTTCTTATTATTCATTGACATAGCTAACTTCAAAATAAGGAAACAGTGACGAGAGGAAACGGAAAATCCTCACCAATTACAGTGTTCGAATCCATCTGATGATGATAATGATGATTGTGCAGAGACGTTCCACACCCAAATGAGCTATTCCATATAGATTAACATTCTAAAAAAATGTTCTTGGTGTGAAAATAAGAAGATGAAGAAGAAGACGAAGAAGAAAAATGGATGTTCATAGATATATATATATATATTTCTATTTTGTATAGAATTATAAAACAGTTAAAATATAATTCATGCGATTTATTATGGTGGATGAATTTGTCTATGTTCATCTTTTTTTTATCTATTATGTTTACTCGTGCGAGAATAAATTTTTTTTCTATATTCATATGCCTTTGTCTCTTTTAATCGAAACACATTTATATCACGAAAGCATTCGTGTGTATGCTACCATTAGAGTTCATCCAGAAAACTTGCCGAGATAGACATTCTGGAAATAATTTTTCCTAGTCTTGTCAAATGAATAATAACAGAGAAAAACAAATGCCCGATTGCTATTAGTAATAATGATGTCAATAAATATTTTCGTTTGTTTGTCACACTTGATTCGGTTGAATCATTATTTTTTTCCTTAATTCGATTATTTCTTTATCTTGCTGCTAACATCGGAAACATAATAATAATAATGTAAAAAAAAAGAAGAAGACGAAGAGAAGGAAAAAAAGTTGCTGATGATGATGATGATGATGACATCAACGACAACACATTCTGTTGTGAGAAGGAAGAAATTGAAAAAGTTATGATTATTAAATTAAATATGTATATCTACATATCAATGAAAGAAAAATAAATCTTAGAAAAAATAAAAGTCATATTTTTTATTGTTTTGAAATATATTTTCATTTTCCGGAGATTTTTATTTATTTACATAGTTCCATTAAAAGAGATGAAACACCATTTGCACGTGAGTTAGAAAAGGACAAAAACTTAGTCATTTATTGAAACTTTTTCTTTTCTATTCTAAAATTAAATTAAAAATTAATTTGCATATATTTATATGTTTTTAATTGAAAATTGTTTTTATTTTGAACTAAAACAAACTTTTCATTATTTTTTTTTTGTATTAACCTGAATCATATACTTTAAGAACATTCTAGAAAAAACAAAAATTGATTTTTTTTTTCGCCTTGCACAATATTGACAGTTGCGTAAAGATAGAAGAAATATCTCATTTGAATTTTTATTTGATTAGTCTTCGGAATTGATTGATGATCCACTTTACAAATTGATTTTAGATTAATTTTCTTAGAATTATAGTTTCTTCCTGTTATAGTTTTAGTCGTATAAATTCAGATTTTATTTTTTATAACGAATGTTTTCATCAAATATCTTTTCACAAAACAAAATAGATGATAAAATTATTAATTTATTATTCACAATGTCAATAAACTTTAACTTATAGATTTTTTCATAGTAAGTTTGTCAAACGCTATGATTCATTTCTCGATTATTTGATAATTAATAGATAAAAACAATATAGGAGAATATTTTTGATTTCGCAAATGAATGTCGCGGTATTCATGATTTGATATATGCATTCTACTTTGTAGTTTTGAAAAGTACCGAAAGTCTTTCTTTAATAATCACTTGACGTTAGTTATTAGTATTCTATAATGTCATTTTATTCTCGATATTCATACATATTATTTATTGATAATTCAGTTATTCAAGTATATAATTATTTATGAAAACATCAAATAGATGATATTCAATATCTAACCAAAAGTTAAGTTAACTTTATCTATATATGTTTACAAATTCTCTAAAATTAAACAATTTGTATGATTACTATTCATCAATAAACTTCAATACGCATTCGATTTGAAGCATCAAAATGAGATTAATTCTGGTGCAAAAGACATCATAGGAAGAGTGTCCCATTTTGTCAACAATGTCATGATGATTGCTATTGCAGAATAACAATTACTTGATAAACAGTTATACAACTGAAGGAAAATAAGAAGAAAAAAAAATTCGCAAACATTCACTACATGTAGCACGTAAAGACTAATGAAACCGATTCTTTGACAAGAATGTGAAGCATAAATAACTCTTAATGGAATCCATGAACCCAATTTTCTTGGATAGATTATCAATATTTGACGCAAACAAATTATAATGTAAAGCAATAATGTTAATAGATTTGTGTATTATATAATCATCTTGTTCTTTTGTTTTGAATTAACATTCCATGTATAAATTTCTCTTTAGAATATAGAAAAATGAAAGCTTGATTTTTAATAAATTATCTAATTCTGTTGTTCTACAAGGTTTTTGTTATTGCATTAATGAATAAGTACTCTTTGATTCTAAATTACTGCAGTTGAAAATAGATAAAAATATATTAAATTGAGCGTTAAATGGACAAATTTATAATTATTCAATTAAGTTTTTATAGATGTTTACGACTGACAACGTTACCTCGAATAAAATATATATTTAATGTTGCTGATGATTATATTGCCTTCAGAATATTATGTTATGAACTCACAAAATAACTAAAAAATATATCAAAGAACTAGAATAGTGTATAATATCTAATGATATTTTGAAAAATATTATAAAAGGAAAGTATTTATAAGTGTCGGTAGTGTTCTATTAGAGGTATATTATACTTACTGTTTCTCTTCAATTTCAATTGCACCATTTACATTTAACTAAAAACTTTTCTAACGGCGTTTAAACTACTAAAATTAGAAGGTTTCCTTCCTTCATGTCATCTTGTTCGGATTCGACAAAAATAGTTGTATGAAGCGTCAAAAAAAATAATAATTCGAACCGAATAGCGTTCGACTTATTGGAATCGAAATAGAATACAAAAATACGATTACATCTATATTGATTCACAAAAGAAAATCGGCAACAATCAATAGATTTCTAATAAAAAATATCCTCTATTAAACTGATATATGAAGGAGGAAAAATGATCGCATACTGATTTTACAATAAGTATCTCGTTAACTTGAGTGTTTCTTTCTTCGAACGTCTTATATTGATCTATTATAACTGTCGGCTCTATTTAAAATGATATTTCATTTTTTTACAATGTATTTTCTATATAAAATTTTGCATAAGTATACACACACACAAATACAAACAGGGATATTAAAAATGACAAATCGTTTCAAACGAATCACCACACAAGAACGACATAGATTAAAAAAAAAGAGAAAGAGATTCTATTGAGTTACTGCTTTTGCTGTTATTGTTGTTTTTTAGTTGGATTCATATTGATTTGATTGCGACTCTTGATCTTGTTTTGAAATAATATAATGATGAAATTTACCTAATTCACTTGTATTTTGCGTATAAATAATTGCTAATCGTTCAATAACAATTTTTAAACAATGTGCACTTGCGTAGATTAAACCAAATTTAAGTATTAAAAATCCAATACCTTTAAAAAATCCACGTCCCCAACTTCCCTCTGTTTCAATAATTGTTCGACAACAATCAAAAACTCCTTCATAACGTGTATTTATTGGTACACATCCAACACCAGTTTTATCCAGATTATCAACAATTGTTCGTGTACCTTGTACAAATAAACGATTGAGTATAGTTTCATATGGATAAAGTAGAAAACTTGATAGAAATACAGAAAATATATTTGCTTCTATACGTAAAAATGATTGATTGACTAGATTTGGAATTGTATCAATAAGTCGACATTCAATATCATCAATTGTTTCGAACTGATTTCTATCTGGATTTGTTGATTGTTCTTTTCTATGAAAATGTTCTTCTCTTATTCTAAAAAAATGTTGATTTAAAAAGTATTGTAATGCATGTCGTCCAACAAAATATGGTAAACTTAATGATATAAGATACCATAATGGTAATGCACGTGCATAAAAACCAGTTTTTATTCCAAGTAAACGTTGAAATGGTTCAATAAAAATTGTTAATGGTGACCAATGATTAACAATTGTTAAATCAGATTGAATAGATCGAAGAAGATGAACTGAATACATCGGAATAAGTAGAAATGAACTAATTGTTTTTAAACTAATATGTTTAATTCTTAATGATGGATCATTGAATGGAGCGATTTCATCAATTAAATTATCTGTAATTGTTTCAGCTGTTGTTAATATAAGTGAACTAAAACATCCTTTCCATAATACACCACTTCCTTGTTGATATTTCATTGTATAAATCATTCGAATTGCAGATAATGGCGTTAGATACGAACGTGATGATTCACTTTGAATTTGAGCTTGACGTCTAGAAAGTAAAATACAATGAAATATGCTTCGGAGGAGTTTATCAAATGATTAATTTATACCTTAGTGTTTCAACTGAATAGAAAACAATATTTTCGAGTACCCATTTACTAATGTTAAGTGATACATCAATATTATGTTGTAAATATTGTCGACGTCTAGTAAAATAATGATCAATATGTTCAATTAAATTTGTTTCATCATCATTATTTAATAAACTTGATGATGAAGCTAATGATTTTTCAGTATCACTCTTTTTAAGTAGTGGACTTAACAAAAGACTAGCTGGTGAAGCTGGTAATTGTTGTATAAAACGACTTGGACTCGGTAGAAATGATGGTAATGAAAGTTTTTGTCGTGCTGGTGATAATAGAGTACCATTACTAATGGCATTCACGAATGAATTCTCGGATGAAGATGAACGTAACAGTTCTTCATTAACATACGATGGAAGATTAGGTCGTTGAGAATTCGTCGGTGAACTCAAGTTTAAGCTAGGTATTGATGACGAATGATTGGGTCGAAGACCCATACCCAGATCTGGATAGAGATTCATAGCATTTGTCTAGAATAAGAATAAAAAAAGTTGAAATTTTATTAAAGCGCGTTTTGTATCTAAGTATAAACTATTTTCATTAATATAGAAATTCATTAAAACAAAAAAAAACTCTTATTTTTCCTCTAATGACAACAGTATTTCGTTCATGTTTACCTCAGTTTTATTCTAATACAAATCAATCAATATCTAATGAACACTTATTACATAAAACAAATTCAATCATTTCACTTAACGATGAACAACTTGATGAAGATTCAATGGATTCTTCATCGATAAGAACTAATCAAAATATAATTAAATCTACAACAACGACTGCAATTTCTCAATTACATTCTTCTTCGTCTCAAAATGAATTAGTAAATAATGATTTAATTCAAGAAAAACAATGTAAACAAACAAAAATATCTCATTTAAAAAATCATAATAATACGAAAATAACTAAAAAACGTGGTCCTTGTTATTCACGTATCAATGAAAAATCTAAAACATTACTGACACGTATTGCTGATACTATTTTTGGTGATCATAGAGCTAACAGTAATCAAAATAAAATAAAACAAACAAATCGTACATCAAAAAAATCTATTCTTCCATCGAAATCTAAAATTAAAAAACAATTCGAAGATAATGAGCAAACTTTACGTTCACTTGTTACACTTCTTACACAAATTGAATCTAATGTAAAATTAACAACATCGAATGAAAATCATAATCTTCCTATTGAAAAAGAAGAAGCTCGAAATAATAATCGATTGGATGATACGTATATATATACACATAAGAGAAAAACGACACTTTTTAAAAAATTTATTTTAGATCTTCGTCTTATTCAAATGATACTTATCAGCATAAATCCAAAGCGAAAACTAATCATCAACATTCATCGATATCTAAACATTATACAAAAAAATCACATAATAGTAAAAGAAAACAATCTGAAGACGATACTCTTAGTTCTTCATCAATTACTTCACATTATTTATCACAATCGTCACCTAGTAATCGAAGAAAAATGGTTGATAATCAACAACAAACTCAAATCTATCCAACAAAAATAAATACTGGAACATCAACACAATTAAATAATACAAACGATACAATTACAACAGAACCATCATGGTTAGATGTCATGCGGGAAGATCAAACAACAATTAATGCATGGGCTCGTATTAGACGTCGACTTAAACCTCATCAACAAAAAGATATTCTCAGGTAAAGATTTATTTTCTCAAACTTATACAATAGAGAAAATTTCAAAGATAAATACAAAATAATCGTTACAAGAAAATAGTCTGCTTTGATGTATACTCATTAAAAAGGCTCGAATTGAGTATAGTTATTTTACTATTATTATTCTAGAGCATTAATGATTATCTGTGCTAATCTATTCGAAGTACCAATTGAAAACAAACATATGTAGTCGACGGAATTGAAATTTTATTTTCAATAACATATATCTATATGGAAGAATCAATGAAATAGACGAAACTGTATGAAAAAAGAAAACAAATCGCAAGCAAAAATAGGAATGAGAGAAATTGCACTAACAAATATAATAATTCAGATCAATGATATAACAATTGTTAGAAGGTTTATACCATTCTATAGAGCACCTAAAAAAGAAAATTAAAGTTCAAACTATAAAATAAAAAAATAATCTAATAATATTAATACCATTTATTTGATTATTATTATTAGATAACTGAAATATTTGATCGATTTCTTTTTCCGACCATGGTTGTTGCCATTTAAGATAATGTTGAAAAATTTTTAATGCTCGTCCTTGATTATTAAGAAAATTTGAAATACGTTGTTTAAAATTTTCTTCCATATTTCCATGTTTTGATGATATATGTAAACGCATACATTCACGTGATAAAACAACAAAAAATTCTTCATGTGAACAGGCATGACAACGATAAAATACACTATGTGCTATCCATTGATTTGCTATTTCAGTATGTGATAAAAGTACTGATTGAGCTTGATAAGATGGTATTACTTCAGATATATCCGATGTTTTCGAATTTGTTGAAGAAATTTTTCGAGTATTAATACGTGTTGTTTTTGTTGACCAATTTTCATCGACTTTGTCAATTGAATTTGAATATTTTTTTGTTGTACTTGATAACGAATGATTACGTGAAAATGAATGTTTATTATTATCATTTGAACAATTAACTATACGAATACGAGCACCTTCATTAAGAACAACTGATTGATATTTTGGTAAAGAATCATTAGATTGTTCTTTGATCAAAATTGGACTTGTACTTTTCTTAGGTTTTTGCTCGCTTGTATGTGATAAAGATGAAGATAAGAATGAGTCATTACTTGTTCGACTAAAATATAAACATTAGATGTAACGATTAATTTGTTTATTCTATTCATGAGTAGTTCTTAAAATAGGTTTTTTCGATTGTAAAAAGAAAATTGCTACTTCAAATTTTATTCAAGGTCGTACTTTTAGTTCGATCAATTCTAAACTTTCATTTTAACTTACTCTTTTGACTGTTGATGATCCATAATAGATAAATCACTTTGTAATGAAGATTCCCGTGTAAAATTCGATGTATCCTTTTTGTCAATATCATTAAAATTACTATTATTTAGATTATCACTGAATCTTGAAGAAAATTTTTTAGATCGTGTATCTAAACGACGACGATCTTCATAGTGTTGTCCATTATTTATTTGTGTAATAGACATTCCAGATGATGATGATGACGATGTTGTTACAGAACGTTTTTCAATTTCATATGATGAATCATCATAACGACGAATTTTTAATGGTGGAATAGATAATTCATAATCATGTTGTGTTGTTGAATCATGTTCATTATGATGATTATCTTCGTGTAATGATTGAAAATGATTTCGTTTAAATGTTGATTGTAAATTAGTTGTATAATTAAGCATTGTATCACGTAAAATATTTATAAATGATAATGATGTATAAGAAAATTCTTGTTGATTATCATAATTATTTACAATTAGTTGAAATTCTTGACTAGCTATTGAATGTATTAAATGAAAAAAAATTCTTATATTAAATAAATAATTTTCAAAATGTTTATTTGTCGGTAATTGAACTAATGTATGAAAATGTGGACAAAGTAAAAGTGGATAAATATGATTTGAATTTGAAGAATTCATTCTTTGATAAGAATTTATTTTTGTTGGAATATTTATAATAAAATTTATTGATCGATTAAATATAGATGAAAGAAATTCTTTTGAACGAGCTTTTGTTGTTATAGTTGAATGTGAATGTTTTTTTATCATACGATGTTTCATACGAGTATAATATCGATCACGTTCACGACGAGAATATTTATAAATATGATATGTTGGTAATTTCTGATTTAATATATTAGAATTTTCTTGATTTTCATCATTATTATTATCAACAACATCATTTTCTGGAATATATATTGGTGTATTATTATTATAAATACAATATGAATCATCGAATGATGATTGTTTTGTTGATGAAAGATAACCACATGAATATAAATTTGATAAAGGTATTTGAGGATCAAGACTTGTAGGGGATGGATGATGATTAAAATTATTTGAAGAAAACTGAGAAGTTAATGGATGGAGTTTAACCACTAAAAGAAATAATACTATGGAAAAAGAATTGAATTACGAAAAAAAGATAAACGAACTATAGAGAATATCACGTTGAGTTTGATTAAGTTGTGGTGGTTGAGGTAGTTTCTCATTGAGCTGTGTAGTGGACTTGTTTATTTGACAAAATGGAAAATGAGCAATTAACATAGCACGATTGGAAAATTCATCAGAACAAAAATGGCACAAATATATTTGATTTCCTAAAATGAAAAACAACAATTTTAACAATCATTCTATAACTTGGAAATTCCCTTTTTGCTCATGCACATGAGTGAGTGACTCAACATATCAGACATAACAAATATTTACATAAGTAAAATATTTTATTCTATGTACTTTATCCATTATCAAACGGAAGTAGTGTATTTAATAAAATTCTCTGATATTTCAATAGTGTTGACATACCTGTCGATAGAGTAGCCATGAAATTTGAATAATAAAAAATAAATAATCACCGGAAATCGTCTAGTTTAATTTAGTATAATTTAAGTTTTTTCATGATCTACAAAAAAAAAGTCATTCGAATAATAGTATTTCGGATATTATCATCGATTAAATCATGCATGATATTATGTTGACCTTCGATGATTAAATTTCGCTGAAGAGTAATAATTCGAAAGATCTTTGTTATAGTATAGTTATGTGTTGGAAATTTTGTTTTTAATAAATAGTATGATGATGGTAACGGATTAGTACTCGTAATCTCGAGGCTATTCTTCTATAAGATATTTATGTAATAGTGAATAAATATATATTTAAACGTAAGTTTTGAGACATTTATATAAAGATGTTTGATAAGATCAATATATATATATATATATATACATATATATATATGTCTATTTTTTATATTGAAAGAAAAGAAAAAGAAGAGTAGAAAAGAATACAATTTCGGTTTTAATGTAAAATATTGATTGGTTGATAGTTTATTTATAACAGTAAAATTGTAATAATAGATAGATGACGCTATTATTGATTGGAAATTAACGATATTATTTGAAAGAAATAATTTTAAAAAAATGATTATATTTATATTTTAAAAATTCTAGATATTTGATTTGTAGAAGAATCTTTGTCGGACTGAATGTACCTATATATATATATATATATATGTATCAAATATAGAATACATTGCAAGCATTTCTCCTAACAATATTTTAACGTTTCATCTACTCGCACTATTAGTAATTATCAAATATACTGTCATATGTTTATCTTAACCGGATTTACTTGATATTAGCTCCATCTGTTTGAAATATCTTCAATCCGAAAACGAAATAAGTTTTATTGTTATTATACTCTTTATAAATAAATTGTTTAGACTTGAAGTAAGCATGATATTATGTAAATAACAGGATGAAGAAAAAACAACAAGAGAACGAAAAGAATAGGTAGTAAATGTAACACGTGTTCGATCAATGCTATTGTTTGCTAATCGAAAAACCAAAATGTGATTTTCATATAAACACTTTAAAAGCAACATTCTTAGTTACATCTTGACTCAACTCTAAGTTTTAAATAGAGATAAAGAATCTCGTATTACATTTTACTAAAGAAAAAAAAAACTTTCGATTATTTACAATGTATTATTTTATCAAATCTATGTGAGATAATGCAAATCAATTAATATTTTCTACTGAAAATATAAACTAAGTTTTGTCGATGATTGAAAAAAGAATAGAGCAAATGGATACTACAGCTACATATGAAATACGATTGAAATTTCTTTTCCATTAGTATTAAATTAAAAATCAGAACATGAAGTTCATTTCTATAAGAACTAGGGTCGATTGAACACATATTATGTTGAGCATAAGAAGAAAACAGTATTCATACCTACACTCACACCCATCCTCATTTGAATTTATTCATGAACAAATAAATAATACAGACAATATCTTTAAAAAACATACTGAATTACACACAATAAGGACAACGAATAAGTGCAAAGAAAAACTGTTTTGATGTTCAGAAATATTATTGAGCATTTGGCATAATTGAGAGTGCTCGGGGAGGATTTAGACGAGTGACCGTCAATGTCTCTGGATGAACAGCACGTGTTGGTCTGTATTGAAATAATAGAATATTTGTACACTTCTTTCGAAGTTCAGGTAATGACATAACACAAACAAATGGAGTGAGCATTACAACAAAGTACGAAAGATATGAGCTAATTGAATAATAATTAGCAGCTATACTACTTGGTAGACCGGCTGAATAAGCAGTATATAAGATTGTCCATGGAAAAAGGAAAACAATATAGATAGCAGATATGGATAATAATTGAACGGCCATTTTTCTGTAATTTCGCCATTGAATTTGTTGACGAATGCGGTATTTCTGATACAATACACGTAGAAGAAGAGCTAGACTAAAGATCACAATGACGAAGATCGGCATTATGAAGTTTACTATACTATCCCACCTACTAGCTAACGGTCTATTAGTCATACAGGAATAGTAGTCACATCCAACTGCATTATAATCAAATACACCTTCACAGGGAAGAACGCAATAGATAAAAAGATAAAATATGAAAGGATAGAGAGATAATATGATTAAAGGAAGATAATGAATAAAAATTCGCTTTGTTTTAGTTGAAACGCAGTTTTGATGAAAAATAAGAATATGCCGTTCGACTGATGCCCAAGCGACTAAAATTGATAATGTTACATAGCCTGCACTATCTATCAATACCCAAGCGATACAAAAGGCTGGTTTGAATATTAGAGCAGTATTAGTACGATAATAATGAATTAACCAGACTATATCAGTAATTTCGAAAAGGAGACCAAGAAATACAATGAGAATAACCGCATGATTGTTCAGAGCAGTACGAAGTGCTACATTGGTCAACAAGTGATAGAGTAGAAAGAGAGAACATATAATAGATGGAATTAGAACGATTAGATAAAGCCAGAAACAAACAATATCAGAGAACATCAAGAAAAGTTCGGTGTGTGCTTGGTACAATCTAAAAAATCAAAATTGTTTTAATAATAACAACGCTAGAAAAACTATGTGTGAGAAACTGAAAAGAAACCATTGCATTTCCTTCTATGTGCGTTGTCTATATATGATTTGATAGAGTTTGACAAGATGAGTATAAATCTATTTTTTTCTGAACTTTGTCACCGTATGAATAGCTCAGATTTGAAATTAATAAAATAGAAAGTTTTATTTATAGTCGACAGCCTCAACAGATGTCTATATACACTTTTGCGCATGAATCTTATTTGCTTGGGAGAAAAGATAATCTGAAATGTGTAGTTTCATTGAAATGAAAAGATGACAAGCTGCTATAGTAGTTTTTTTTAGATCATTTTCTCTCGAAAAAAAATCGATTTTTGTCAAAGATTGCTAAATTGTAATAAGTGTGTGGGAAAATAGTCCGTGTTCACTTCATTTTTTACATCAGTTTTTTCTCGGTTTATAATTTTTTTATCTTGTAGCCAAGAACTCTTCAAGCAATTTCAATCTGTATATATTCTTTTGTTGTTGGAAAGATAATGTTAAGATACAGTACCTGACTGACCCCTTTTTTTAAATCAAGCTTTGCTTTTATTATATATACATAGACACTTATATAATTAGACCCTCATTCTTTTCTCTAATAAAAAGGTAAGTATTTTAAAAAGTGAACTCGATCATGTCCTGTATATTCATGCAATTTTTCAAACAAAAAACAAATTAAATATATAAAATGAGTCTGCACAGAGAAATTCAAGTTGCTGATCAAAAAACCAAAATGTTATTTTCATATAAACATTCTTAGTTACATCTTGCCTCAACTCGTAGCTTTAAATAGAGATAAAGAATCTCGTATTATATTTTACTAAAAAGACCTTCAATTATTTGCAATGCATTATTTTATCTAATCTATTTGATACGATGCTTCCATTTGTTTGAACATATAGTTATAACCATCAGCTTTTCATTAACAGTTAATGTATATAGTTGAAATATAAACCTAGTTTTGCCGATGATTGAAAAAGAATAGAGCAAATGGATTCTTCTACGGAAAAGAAATACATGTAAACAAATCTTAACTATAGAGGAAAACGAGTTCGTAAACTACTGGCATAGACGGGCTACCAGCGGGCAGTTGTCATACGCAAAAAAATTAAATATAATATTTATTTATGTATATAGTCAAGGATTATTGAATAAAAAAGAACTTCAGGTTTGGACAAAATATTATTCAACTAACTACGATGATTTAAAAGCTGAACAATGATTTTGCCAAACTAAGGTAAACGATCAGAAGATGAATTAATCAGACGCAACTAAATTCATTCTGGAAAACAATTTCCATGTAACACTGTTATCTATGAATGAATTCGTATGAATGGGAACGAAGTTTCTCGTTATTAAGAAAGTTGTCAGGTGTTGTACTTTTAAATATTCAGAAAGATTTTGAAATTAATATAGACCAAATAATAACAGATTTTGTTACAAAGAAAAATAATTTTTGAAATAAATGTTTTTTTAGCTATAATATGTTTTTTTATTCACTTTATTATAAAAGAGGGAAAACCCAAATAAATAAATTACATTAGAAAAAAGACAGTTCCGTTTGTAGTACAACTGTAGATAGTAGATACGTATTATTTTTATTATAGTAACGTATTAGGGTTTATTATCACATTTAAATTTGAGTAGCTGGGCCACCACTAACTATTGATATATGGAATTAAATTTAATATAAAGCGGTCTCATATTATAAATAAACAAAGTGATTTTTTTCGCATAAAATACGATCGTCAGATATATGTATTTTTATTCTTCGCTTGCACATTAACTATGGAAAATAATGATCTTTCTAAATGCATAATATTTCAAAATGAAGCTCTGATAGACATCCTTGACAAAACAAGAAAGAGACATAGCTGTAGTATGTAGGAATGGTTTCAGAATTATCTTACTGGTTTAGATCTCACGAATTCAGAGACTCATGAACAAAACAGAACATATCTCTAAAGAGTATTTGCATTCATTTTGATAAATAAAATGTATATAGAAAGTAAAGACGTCATAAACGTTATTGTTAATTATCCTAACGTCATAGTAACGGTGTTTTTCTTCCAACATCAGCAGATATTTGTTATCATCATTTTTTTGTAATACACAGTTTTTTTTGACGATGTAGTTTCCATTATTATGATTATAATAGACGAATAACGTTATACAAAGGTTTTTTTTTAACGTTTCTTTGTAAAGAAAATCAAATTATCTTAAGACAGTTTTTGTGTTATGTACACATTTTATATTATAACAGCATGAAACTGAAAAAAAGAAGGAACAGACACCATTCTATTCAATAGGACATTTTATTCGAAGAAAAAAGACTGACTGATTGCGAGGATGAAGAATTATTAAATTAAATTTAATATAAAGTGCTCTCATATTATAAACAAATGAAACGATCATTGTTTCCACATAAAACAAGATATTAAGATATACGTAATTTTGTTTTCTGCCTGCACATAAACTGCGCAAAAGAAAATCATCATACTAGATGCATGACTTGTTCAAAGTTAAACTCTATTACACAATCCTGACAAAAAAAGTGCAAACATTTTTTTCCATCATATTGATGAAATAAAAAGAACTGTCTTTCTAAATGTACTTTTTTCAAAGTGAAGCTCTGATACACAATCCTGACAAGACAAGGAAGCGATGACTAGTTTTCCATCGCACTGATGAAATAAAAAATATCTATGATGTGTGAAAAGAAAGAGTTGTAGTTGTAATATGGAGAAAGGTTTCAAGAATTTTCTCACAAGTTTAGATCTTACGGATTCAGAGACTCATGAACAAAACAGAATATATCACAATGATATACAATATGTTCAGAACTCTAAAGAGTATTTGCATGTATTTTGCTAAACAAAATGTATAAAGAAAGTAAAGACGCCATGAACATTTTTGGTAATTTCTCTAACTACATAGTAACGGTATTTTTCTTCCGACATCAGCGGATATTTGTTGCCATCCTTTTTTGTAACACAGAGTTTTCTTTGACAATGTAATTTCGATTATTGTGATTATAACAGGAAAAAGTCATTGCATAAAATGTAATTTTATCTAATCTTTCTTTGGAGAAAAAATTAAATTATCTCCAGATAGTTTTTGTGTTATGTACACACTTTATTCGAAGAAAAATGTCTGATTGTTTATGAAGATGAACAATTATTGAAGTTACTTTAAAATGCTGAAAAGTAGTTTCACTTAATTGATTTATTTCATAAAGTGTTTCTTACGTTGACAAACAGAATTAAATTTAATACAAAGTGGGTTCATATTATAAACAAATAAACTGATTTTTTCTATATGAAATACGAGCGTTAGATATATATTTTTTGTCCTCCGTCTGCACAGTAACTACGGAAAACAATCTTCTGTCTAAAAGTACTTTTTTTTGAAAGTCAAGCTCTGCTACACCTTCCTGACAAGACAAGGAAGTCATGACTAGTTTTCCATCGCACTGATGAATTAAAAAAATGTGTATAATGCGTAGGAAAAAAAAAGAAAAAGAAAGAAAGAAAGAAAAACTGAGAAGGTATTTAATGCTATATCTTCACAATGTGTTTGATTTAAAGTTAAATTCATTTCTTAACTAACATTCTTGTTGGTTATGGCGAGCAGAAGAAATTCTCTATTTCTTCTGTTTCTTCTTGTTACACAATCCGGCACACAAGATATGCGATCACTTCGCATGTCTACCAAAGCTGGTTGGCAATTTCAATGTTCCAACTCAAATTGCTCACCATTGGCCGTTGTTATTGTGTCGAATATCCGCCAGTGTCAAATGGTTTGCTTAGCTGAAATCCATTGTAAAGCAATTAGTTTTCATAAATCATCGTCTAATTGTGAATTGTTTGCTGATATATCAAACCAAGATGGCAATCTGGTGATCAATACGGACACTGTTACTATGCTTATTATTGATGGAACACGAATACCACCAGGTTAGTTCAATTACAACTTCTTAGAAAAGGGTGTGAGTGTGAGTGAGAGGTAGATTCTATACCTATCCACATCCACACCGTTAAGATGGTATACTCTCGAGAGTCATTCCATGAGACTTCCTGTATCGCACTAAAGTAATCATAAGAGACTCTTAACACTCCTGGGTGTGGACGTGGGTGCGAATCTTCTTCGATTTACACATCCATCTTGATGGTGTGAGTGTAAAGATTGAAGAAGATTTGCATTCACACTCAAAACCTCAATCTCATTTTTCTAAAACAGAACCGACTACGACATCAACAACCACATCATCATCCACTTCATCATCAACATCAACAACAACTTCATCATCCACATCAACAACAACATCATCATCAACATCAACATCAACATCAACAACATCATCGACATCAACAACAACAACCACAGCTACTACTTCATCATCAACATCAACAACAACATCATCATCAACATCAACATCCACATCAACAACAACATCATCATCAACATCATCCACATCAGCATCCACATCGTCAACAACATCATCAACAACAACAACAGCCGGTCAGTAATATGCTAGATAATGTCTTGTACTTTTTTTGTAGCTTCCAAACTGAAGATTACTTCCACTAACCAAAAAACGTTTGAGATTTCACCGTTCAAATGTTTATCACTTCGATGAACAAATAATACTCGTCTGAAGATTCGTTTAGTTGTCTCTTGTAGAAGCGTTATTTCTTGGCGTAACAAATTGTAGTCATCACGCTAATGGTAAAGACCTATGCTGCGAAAGCCGACATTGAAAAAACTGACGTTGATTCAGACATATCACTTGGGGTAACTCTTTTAGAAAAAAACCGTCAATAGTAAAATAGAACTAGAATATAGTAGCATAACGAGAATTTTATCAGCAAGAATTAAGCTTCGTTGTTGTTGCCTTTTCTTTGGTTACTCTTCGCGGGTCCATATTTAGTCTTGTCCACCTGCGTCCTTCATTCTTTCTCTCGGGATAGTTTTTGATCAATCAGTATATGGCTGTACGGAGTCTATTACATGCTGTACTAATAAACCAGACTATGCACTACAAGTTTGATTGATTGTGATTTGTGTTCTTCGATATTTTCTCTAATAACTGGCGTATCTCTCAAATTCAGTTGTTGTTTCTTGGAAACTGTGAAATCAGAAAAAAGCAGAGTCAGCACTGGTGCCGTTTTTTTTTGCATGTATAAAGTCACAAGAGAACAGTAATCGAATCTGAGAAGTGCATCCATTTGTAGAGTAAATATTGGAGAATACAGCTTAGAATAATCAAAACGTGTATTGCTTAGTTTAGTGTAATGGTACAATATCTGGTAAACTCTGATGTAATTCCGCTATCAGTTCCGTGCATACCTATGCCAAACAATGAAAAACAGGCCCGCAGTACGCAAACAGATAAGTTATTTTTGTTAAACTGCTCTCGACGAGAACGAGAATAGAGTGTGGATGCACAGCTAATTGTAAAATACTTGAAAAGTAGAGTTCAGAATTTTGTAGAAATATCATTGGTTTACGCGACACAGAAGTATCATATTGCTTATAGAATTCTATATTATACTGCAATTAAAAAAAAGGAATGATATATATGTTGAAATGAAATTCTGGATATATATACAGAATTCTGAATTCTACTTGGTATGTATTCTGCGTTCTCCTAGTCGAGGATATCATGAAACTTTATTAAAGGGAGCGCAAGTTTTGAGTATAGTTAGATGAATTCATGAATTTTTTGAATTTACGAGACGATTTCACATAGGGACGGACAGAATCGCCAAAAATTGACTTTAGTTGTGCTCTAGAATGTCTGAAATTGCCCAAAATTCAGTGACATGATCTTTTCGAATAAATTATGTTGAATTAAGTTAGACTCTCAAAGATTGAACAAAATACGATAATTGAATGTTGTCTATATGCTACTACGGATTTGAGAGCAAACGTTTTGCATTTAATAGGCTGCAGTACGTTTCTTAATCAAACTACTTACTCAGTTGGCCTTGAACCAGTACCAGTAGCAATCGTCGATGTGAATAGCGATAATAAACTCGATATTGTTGTTGCAAGCTGGGACTCGTCCCTCGTTGGTGTTCTTCTCAACGCAGGCAATGGCACCTTTAAGGCTCAGACTACTTACCTAGTCGGAGGTACCCCAACTTCAGTAGCAGTCGTCGATGTGAATAACGACAATAAACCCGATATTGTTGTTGTAATGTATAATCCGGGCACCGTCGGTGTTCTGCTCAAC